ATGTTTTTCAATATTTTCATATCCATTCTGTATTTTAAAAAATGCATTTGTTAAGGGAGTGTGTTGAATGTAACAAATCATTTTTATTATTAGGGTGCACGACCCAGTATAACTAGAGAAGTCAGTAAAACTGTCAAGACATAAAAAGACTATTGTCAAGATTGTTACTCATTAAAAACTAATACAATATTGCAGTTTTTCAATACACAAAACAATAATAAATAATAAAACGATCAATACTGTGAATCCTAAGATGACCAAAAGGATCTGGAATAGCAGTCATTGTGATTCCAGTTGGCCTCTCATTTCGAGTCACGAATGTGTGGAAGGAATGTGATGCCCTCCTTTATCTCTGGGATCAATCTATGTTAACAGAGACTGTCAGCGTCGTTTCTTATTTGACAACTGCGCTTGAATACAAACGTTGAGATCAAAGCTAGCGCATGCTTTGGAAGTCGCGTTGTTTCATGGCTACCTATCGCGCATGGTTACAAACATCATAATCCCACTATTTTAGACTAGAGTCTCGAGATCATACCCGTGTGTTCACCGAACACGCCCGATCGTTCCCTAAGCGGTGGGAAAACGTAAACGGTAAACGGGCAGCAGTAACTACGTTATGAATATTGGCGCGTGCCTGAATTATTTTGGAGTCAAATTTGTCAATTTAATGTACGAAACGGAACACTAGTAGTTGTGCCTTCTTGTTTCACATAATATGTTATAGGTAGACATCAAATCAATAAACATAGTGCTCTCGCCATCGGTATTTGCTGAACTTCGCTATGGGAAAAATGTTAAATAACTATATTGGGATGAAGAATGATCTATACAGGGTGTATCTAAATAACACCGAAATAATTCAAGGGATGATTCCTTGTGATATAATATGATGAATAAAGGTTATATAAAAATGTGTCCTAAACTTGCTTCGTTTTCGAGGGACAGGGTTACGTCCTGATTTCGAATCCGAAGTGATTTTCAACCTATCTTGCATCCTAATATCATTTTCCGGAAATGTTGGTGGGTCCATGACCAGAGCAGTGTTTTTCACTGAAGATCAGTGAAGGCTCGTGCCCTCAGAACCTGGGTCGGCCAGGGTATAGATATTGCTCTAAAATGCGAACGTAACACGTTGTGTCAGCGGCTTGAGTGAAGTTCGATGGCAAATAAGCATGGTGATTCACCATAATTGTCCCCCCCTCTAGCTCACTTTATTTTTGACCCGATTTAAAGATTTGAAGGATGATCTAGAATGATTTCTCAGGATTTTTTTTCCCGTTTCATCAGGAAATACAGGGTGCTCGGAACAAATGATCTACAGAGTACTACTCGATTTTTCCAAATGGAACACCCTGTATTTCATTGTATTTTTAGATTCTTCCTGAAGAGCTGATTTCATCAATGCATCACACTTGGGGTCTAGCGGGAATGATAACAGAGATATAGGGTGTTCAAAATCGAGATTTTTCAAGTTTAGGATTTTTTTGTCTCGAAACTATTCATTATTGGTCGAAACGGCTCCTATGTTTCCATCTTAATTTTTGATTAACTGTCTATTGAGATTTGATTGGAACATTTACAGGGTGGTTCAAGATTCAGAATTCCGATCACCCTGTATCTGTTCCAATTATTAAATGTTAGTAGATAGTAAATCAAAAGTTGAGACATGGACATGAAAGCCGTTTTGACCGACGATGAATAGTTTCGTCTCAAAAAAATCCTGAAGTTGAAAAATCTCGATTTTGAACACCCTATATCTCTGTAATCATTCCCGATAGACCCCAAGTGTGATACATTGAGCAAATCAGCTTTTCAGGGAGAATCTAAAAATACAATGAAAAATAGGGTGTTCCATATAAAAAAATCAAATGGTATCCTGTAGATCGTTTGTTCTGAGCACCCTGTATTTTCTGATGTAGCGGAAAAAAACTCAATCAAAAATCATTCAAGATGATATTTCAAATTTTGAAATCGGTTCAAACATAACTGAGCTAGAGGGGGGGACATTTATGGTGAATCACCCTGTACACATAACCAAAAAATTAAATTGTCCAGCAATAACTACGAGGTTAGAGCATTCTCGCCAGGGGAAATGGGGAAAGGAAAAGGAGGTGGATAAGGGTTAGTTGGTATGAAAAAATAATAACAAGAAAGTCGAAAAAATAAAATGAAAGAAAATAAAAATAAAATAACTCGTGAACAAAAAATATTTATATTATTCTGTTGAAAACGTAACGTAAACTCAAAAAAATCAACATAACCGACAACCACTCACCTAACGCGAGAAGCACAACAATGACTAAATCGGTCTACGCTCTACGCCGTTCCTGTCAAATCATCGCTCTCATTATCTGATAGGTCGCAGTAGATCACTTGATGCCTATCAAATGTTTCTTATTTATTCGAAAAAAAAAATGTTGATATGTGATCAAGAAAACTGTTGGTGGCCCACCCCGTACTACACTACAAAAACAGAGACAGCATGAGAGAAGCTGCCTGCCCACTCAATGTATCATAATGAGTGTAGTTTGTTTATGAATTTTATGATCATGATCATGGCTGCCTGCTTACGTCTCGGTCTCCCCACCGCTTAGGTAACGATCGGGCGTGTTCGGTGAACACACGGGTATGATCTCGAGACTCTTGTCTATTTTAGCAGGATCAAACGCGAATTTATTCAATTGACTCCAAGCCGTCGCTCAAGACGGATAATGCTAGAGCCGTCTCACTCCTAGTGCAACCAGACGCCGTAGTTAAAGGCTAACCTTCGTGAGAGGGATATTGTGTTTACAGTTTGCTGAGTCAATATTGAACATGGACTCCCATTCCACTGTGTTCCTAACTAGAACATTACTAAGCTGTTTTCCTGGTTGAAGACTCTCGTCTTTTAGCAGGTTTTCTTAAGAGTGATTGATTTTCTCAAGAGTGATTAGTTCTCTCAGAGCATTGAAGGAGGTTATGGAGATTGAGTCGGAACTACCGTGTTCACAGCCGGTTTCAGAATGCGAGGGCTTTTTAGAATAAGTGCATGCATGAGGGAGTGAATCTTATCATTGAATATTGATACCAGGTATCAAATAAAGAAGAGCAATAAGTGACAATATGGCGTATGTCACCTCGATCCGCGAGTAATTACGCATACTGAACAGGGTGGAGGTTATAGGGTTTCGTGAATATACACAGAGAGAAAACATCTGGTTAGTATAGGCACAACTAGATATATCGTTATGGTAACAAATTGATACGGCATCAGCAACGATTCATATCTGGTTCTGCCTATATTTACCAGAATATTGTAACGGTAACATACTTTCTTCACCGTGTAGTATAAATCAAGTACACTGAGGAGAAAGCACTCATTAAATTTTCTTGTTATGTCTGAGTTAATGGCTGTGATTCAATTTCTGATCATATTCACCTATGTTACGTATAAAAATAGCACCAAGGACTAATCACCATAACTAAAGACGTTTTATTGGGAGTACTTCAATTAACTTCATTGGACTTCTTGTAATGACAATTGATGTCTAAACCTATGATAATCAACGCAGACGAGTGAATTTCAATCATATTACCATTACTTGTCATAATATCACCATCATATAAAAATTCAATGACGATCGTTGACGAATGTCCTCGAGTACATACGAACAAGATTTTTTCCGACACATTGACACACCCCCTCGTCAGTTATCGGACTTTGGTCGGCCTAGTCGGTCGGTAAACTCTTGCTTCGTGCATTTCCTTTGTTAAATACGGTTGATAGTTATGATTCTGAGTTGTGATCGAGTGAGGTTTCGAAAAACTGATGGTTAGAAGTGTGCAAAAACTGGGATTGACCGAGATATTTAGGAGTGATATTTTGATTTGAAATGTTGAAGTTATACAATTTTCAACCACTTATCTTAACGTGAGGCATATTTGATTTTTTTGGTTCATTATTAAACTTGTTTTTTCTAAAGTTCAATTTTCTCATTTCCTACCATCTACAGAGTTCAGTTCAGGGCAGTTCTTCTCCAACTACATGACAGCATTTATATTTTTGTTGCACCAATTTATTTATATTGGTGAGATCGATAATCAAATAATTCTCCATTCTTCAGTGGAAAGTTCATCATGAGGTAAAAAATAATCGGAAATGAATATATTAAAAAAGTTGAATTTTTCGAACATTGAAAGTTCTTTAATGGGTGAAAAATAGTGTATTTTCAACATATTATTTTCTCTACTTTGTTTCCAAGAGTATTTCGAGATATTTTTATGTGGATGTGATTCTAACTGACAGAGCTCCAAAAATGAAGAGTGCCAAATAGATTTTTTCTATTCTGGAAAGTTATTTGGGAAAAAATATTCGATTATTAAATTGAAATAACTAGTCATTAATTATTTCGATACAGAGGTTTGATTCCTGTTATAGGTTCTGGATAATAACAGCGGTTATACTCTTTAATTATAGTTATACACATTGATGAATGACCGTTATTCGTTCACGGTGTAGCCTTCATGTCATGCTTCATTAAATTATCTAGTAACTGTTATTGGGTCGTCTTAGCAAAATGAATCAAATAGCTCTCATAAGACAGCTAGGCTGTCCCCTATTTAATTCTATTTTTTATGAAGGTTATTCGATTTTTAATGATTGCTTTTCGATTTTTTTCTCAGTGTAAGCGATAGTTCTCGTTCAAAAACGTTATTGCGATTGGATTTGTGGATGAATCAGATTTTCTAGTGCCTTTGTCGGTATCCACTATAGCAACACGACCCGTAAATTACACTTTCTCTACTGATATTCAGCAGGTGCAAGTGCAAGGTGCACTGTCGAAAAGGTGGCGCTCAAGATTATTATTGAGTAATTCTTGCGAAAGCGTCAAACTACGCACGTCTTTGTAGATAACATTACATATTCCGAGAAAACGAAGGATTTTCAAGTGTCATATTCACCTGAAGTTGTAGCAGTAAACCCAGAGAAAATCATCATGTATGATCTATTAGCTTACCAAGAACTGTCATTATCTTCCTCATAGTTGCTACATTGAAGACAGCCCTATTGATTAACGCATCTGAAATGCAACTGAACAATGGGCTGGTTGCTAGTTGTGAGAGATAAGGAAGAGCTGACAGGGCACTATTCTGGAGAGAGAAAGAAATATTGTTATATTGATATGTTGAGTAGATATTGAACAATTAGAAATATCTATGATTTGCATTAAAATAAGATTTGTATGTATCATTATCATGGTACGTGGTAGACTTTCCACTTGTGATGGCTCATGCCTTTTTTTCTTTGGGTATTTCGCAATTTTCCGAAATGGAAATTACCCAATTTGTATCAACCGATTCTTTCCTACGTTTTTTCGAGTTCTGATCGAGTCATTCTTGAAATCGTCTATTTTGAAAATGAGTTGTTTTTCAGGATAACATGAAAGGAGCTGTTGAACGATCCTTGGTAATTAAATTTATGAGGAACGTTCTGATTGGTTCCAGGGTTGAGAAACATCGTTAGTTCTCTGATGTTGTCATGGAAGTAATTTTTGATAATTTGAATATGATATGAAGCGTTATTATTTGTTACATCCACGAATTCATTTTTTCGATAAATGTTCATTGGATTCATATGTGTACCTTCTGCCTGATCTCGAAAAATATCGTTGAATGAAAATATCTAGTTATTGGTTCTCCTCTCCATTTCAATGAGATAATATTCACGCAATACATTTTTATTTTTTTCGACTTGGACTCACCCTGAATCAAAATATTGCGTGAAAATCTGCTACCGATGAACAGCCAATACTCTCTTCTGATACCCGAAGAAGAATGAGCTGCAGGATGATTCTGTTCCACGATCGTCGATTGTCGTACGATTCGATGATGAACTCGAAATCGAATTAATTTCCTGACCTATTTCTCGATCAAATTGCGATCGAATTCGACTTCGGAAATCGTCGGTTTTTTTGGCGGAATGGGATAAGATTTTGATCCGCTGGAACGAAACGAGCAAATGGGCACCGAATTTTCCAATCCCAAGAAGAAATACAAATGTTACTGATTGTCCCAGATGGTATTTCAGGAGCTTGAGATAGACAAATGAAGTTAGATCTGATTCGTCGCCGCGAAGGAATATGAAACAGAAGTACCTTATTCTTTTTTCTCCACATGATGAAAAATTTATTGAGCTATTTGGAAGAAAAGGGTAATCGAGACCCCACTTAGTGAAAAGGTCAGAGTATGAAGGGAATTACTACGGAATCAAAAATATTTTGTGCATTAAGGTTTTTCGCAACTAGATTATACCGAAGATGCTATCTTATGCAATTTCTCGGAAGTTCATTTGACAGGCCCCAATGAATTGACTTGACAGCCTGATACCCAGTTTTTTCTTGATTTCACGACGATTCGACTCTCGAAATTGTCCCGTAGCCTTGTTTAGTGCTGTAATAAAGATGTTTTTTACATTTTCCAGTAGGCATCTCTGAGTTTGAACGACGTCGAAAATGATTCATATATTATATTCATGAGGTGATTAGTTGATTACGCACTTCCACATGAATGATCTAACCCCAAATAAAGAAGAAGATGAAAAGATTCATTCGATGATACATGAGGATAGATTGACAAAACGCATTGATTCGACTTCTCTCGAGCTATCGAAGAATCGAATCGAGTTTACACAATTAATTCGTGAAACAGAATACCAAATATCGACAAGAAAAGGCCGTTTGTCTCGATTCGTTAGATAGAATCTCCCTGCAGGTCGACGTTTTCTCCCACTATGACGACCGGATCGGCTATTGCTTGTTCGAATGCGCTGTCATTTCGATCTCCTGATCCGCATCTACACTTCCTCCTCCTGGAAGTCATCGAAAAGAAAAAATTCTCATTTCCTAAAACATGCCCTCGAGCGATTTGAATTACTGTGGATTCATCATACGATGATTCGTTACTGTAATGAGCTGCGTAGCGCCGAAGTCGTTTGGCTGTATTGGTGTTTTTTTGCATCTCCAGGGTAGCCATCAAACACGACAAAGACGTTCTTCCCAGAGTGGTTACGGACGTTGGTAGTGTATATAACGTGACAGAAGCGCTCGAAGTTTGCTCTTTCGCTGCCACACAACCTTATGCAAGAGGTAGCCAGTATTCTGAACTAGTGGAGTGCTGCCATCTATGGACGTGTGTCTGAGGAACGCGGTGAAGTCAGGATACAGAGTGAATATAGTGCTCTTGCGCAACCCCTGTTCATTCGGCAGAGACATGTGGCTACGGAAGTATTGCCTACGGAATATCTCAGTTATTGTATGAAGTAGGTTTGTGAAATTTGAAGCGTCGATATAATGACATAAGAGCTAGAATTTGAGCATATTGACATGTCGAAGCTAACTTCCGGGCTGACCGGGAGTAACTCTCTTATTTTGAATGGAGACCCTACTTTTTTTCTTTTCGCTTTATTCAGCATTCATTTCCCTTCCTAATGACATATCACAAGTTGGTATATAACCATAAACTAGATCAGAAAAAAATGTTTATTGAAATTCGCCGTGGAAGCAAGATGAAAGTCAGAAATTGAAAAGTTGGCTATGAAAACCATACGTCACTTGATAACAGTTGCTACTACTGTGATATTTTATTTTCATTCGTCGGCGTTATAAAAAGAAGAATGGAAGAATTGGAAAAAAAAACAATACGTAGGTCCATAACTTAAATAGGAACATATATCAAATATATCAGATGATCCTTCTTTCCAGAACTAATAGAGTATTTCGGAATGAAGAGAATGTTCGTGTATAACTACGATATGATTTTCGATCACGTTTCATTTTGAATAATCCTCCAAACCGTTATGAAGATTACTCCTCACGGAAACACCTTGTATTCCTTGATTTGAATTTTTAATTCTTCTTACCGACTTCAAGTCGAACTTCATCACGCTGCTCATGTAGATTGGTGTTTGTGTTTGAAGAGTCCAGTAACCCCAAACAAAGCCAGACTGTGCTACAACAAGGGCCCAGAATGGTAAAGAAGTCATAATCTTGATCCATGGTGTGGATATTTCCTGAAATGATGAATGAACGAGAGAATTATGCTAGTCAACATGAGCTTCAGTGATTCCAGCAGTAGCAATGAAACCAGAGCAATGATGATCACAATTTGACCTCAAGGAATGTCGTTCTGATAGATCCACCTCTGATCTATTTATATTTATATATTCAATTAATATTAGTAGCTGTATAAATCAATAGATTAGGTATAGGTTTTGTGGGGATGCAGCTGATGTGGGACTCAAAAGAAAACTCTTTTTACTTTTGAGAAAGCTTTCGGAATTTATTTAATTCCTTCGTCAGTCTCTCTAAAATGGAATGCACAATTATAATATTCAGAAGAAAATGGGTATTAAAAATTACTTACAGTATATGAGGTTGTAGAATTGCAAATCAGAATAATATGTAGTATAAAATTGTAAAAAATGCATAAATTGATGGATATAAAACTAATATAACTTTGTCAAAGTGACAATATGTAACATGAAAAAATACATGGGGTTGAAAAATTAGATAGGTAAAAGGTTGATCAAGATGGAATTGAATTTATGGATATATTGTGTCTATCATGCCTTTTATTCTCTATTTCTAGAATATTTGAATAAATTACATTTAAATTTTGAATATCTGTTTTTTTATTCATTGAGCATTTTTCATTTTTTATATAAATCATTTCTAAGAAACATCTCTTGAAAGTATTTTTCTCTGATACTAATATCGAGATGTTATCAAAATCCATTGGATGTCCAGTATTATTAACATGTTGGGATAAAGCGCATGCATTTGGTTTTACACGAATATCACTTTTATGCGATGTAATTCTTGATTTCAAATTTCTAGATGTCTCTCCAATATATTTTAGATCACATTCTTTACAATTTATCTCATATACTACACCAGCTCTATCAATATTTGGAGTTTTATCTTTCAATTTCGTGAAAAGTTTACTCACAGTTTTGATTGGTTTGTTAGTCATTACAATTTCAGGGATCTGACTTCAAAAATTAATAATGTACTAAAACAACAAGATGAAATTGTAATGACTAACAAACCAATCAAAACTGTGAGTAAACTTTTCACGAAATTGAAAGATAAAACTCCAAATATTGATAGAGCTGGTGTAGTATATGAGATAAATTGTAAAGAATGTGATCTAAAATATATTGGAGAGACATCTAGAAATTTGAAATCAAGAATTACATCGCATAAAAGTGATATTCGTGTAAAACCAAATGCATGCGCTTTATCCCAACATGTTAATAATACTGGACATCCAATGGATTTTGATAACATCTCGATATTAGTATCAGAGAAAAATACTTTCAAGAGATGTTTCTTAGAAATGATTTATATAAAAAATGAAAAATGCTCAATGAATAAAAAAACAGATATTCAAAATTTAAATGTAATTTATTCAAATATTCTAGAAATAGAGAATAAAAGGCATGATAGACACAATATATCCATAAATTCAATTCCATCTTGATCAACCTTTTACCTATCTAATTTTTCAACCCCATGTATTTTTTCATGTTACATATTGTCACTTTGACAAAGTTATATTAGTTTTATATCCATCAATTTATGCATTTTTTACAATTTTATACTACATATTATTCTGATTTGCAATTCTACAACCTCATATACTGTAAGTAATTTTTAATACCCATTTCTTCTGAATATTATAATTGTGCATTCCATTTTAGAGAGACTGACGAAGGAATTAAATAAATTCCGAAAGCTTTCTCAAAAGTAAAAAGAGTTTTCTTTTGAGTCCCACATCAGCTGCATCCCCACAAAACCTATACCTAATCTATATTTATATATATATATGTTTTATTTCATTCATGATTATATTATTTCTGTTGAATGTTGAGCCATCGACATATTTTTATTTGTATTTGATGAAGAGTCTGTTCGTCGATAGTACCTACGTTTTTGTTTTTATATTTAGTTATTATGACTTT